AATAAAGCCATAGTTTGGCTATATCAGAGAGATGTAGTTATAGATGTTTAGATGTCATTTGTTATAATTGGAAATTTGGTCTACTTTGAACTTAACGTGGGTGCTGAAATTTCACTTCAAATAAAATAAACCTAGGCATGTCATTTAAGATGCTTCTTTCCGTATATTTAGATATAAGGAAGATACAAAAACATACAAAATTCAAAGAGAGAAACAGGAATTAGACAAAATTATATTAGAATCAGAAGAAAAGCTGATTTGCAAAATTTATAAATTTTACTACAATATAAAATGGAGGAAGAGATAGTGAAAAATACAATGATTAAATGGGTGCAGAATTTTAATTATACAATAGATTTGGAGAAGTGGGAAGCAATGTGGCAAGTAAATGCAAAAATTAACGCTATCGGTGGCATACAAGGAAAATCAGCTGAAGATGTTTTATAGATGGCATTTGTCACCGACAAGACTTGCAAAGATATACCCGAACAGTAGTGCAACATGTTGGAAATGTAAGAAATCCCAAGGAACATATTACCATTGAGGATGGACGTGTCCGGCAGCAAAAAAAAATTGGTCAAATATTAAGAAATGGATAGAACAAATAACAGAACAACAAATAGAAAGGAAGCCAGAAACATTCTTGTTAGGAATTTTTACAAAACCATATTCCAAAGAAACAAAATATTTGATGCTACACATCTTAACAGCAGCATGAATAACATATTGAAAAAATTGGAAACCGGAAAGAACTCCAACTGAGGAAGAATTGATAGATAAGATTCTAGAATGCGCTGAGATGGACAGATTAACAAAAGAAATTAAGGAAAAAGAAGAGACAGACTATTATAGAATATGGAATAAATGGTATAATTGGCTTAAGGCTAGAAATAAAGAATAATAACTATAAGGAGAGAAGATTAGAAATACAAAATATATATATAACAAAGGTATGGAGTGGAATAAAACTGTATATAACATGAATGTAGAAATGTATAACATTAAAGATATAATTAAAATATATAGATCTCTATGGGGGGGGAAGGATAATGGGGGGTAAGAAGAAGGAGTAAGAAATGAAGACATAAGGGAAGAAAAACAAACTAACAGATGGAAGACGACTATGAAACAATGCTTAAAAATGATAAGATACTTATATGTTGTGTGTTATGTAAATGTCATATATGTGTTATAATAAAATTGCTAATTTTAATTTTAAAAAAATAAGATGCTTCTTTCCGGAGCCTTTGTCACGAGAGGAAAACATTACAACCAACATGTGATTTAGCAGCAGGGTCCAAAATTTGACAATAAATGAATGATGTACTTACACAGTTCCATCCTGAAGAGCCCGAGAAGGATGTTGACTGAAGTCAATGGGATCAGAAAATGTATTCAGTACAGATATAATGCCAGCAATGTTGATGTCTCCAACTTGATGATACGTGTGAAAAATAGGAACAGGCTCCTGAAGGTCACATTGAAGGCTAGGATCCTTGCATACCACTCGAGGCATCACTTTTAACAGCAACTCCATGAAAACTAACAACTTCCATGAGTGCTTTCTTTCTGTGTACAGCTGCCTCTGTCTGCCAGGAGATCTTTGAAGTAGATCAGACCGACCTGTCTTCTGGAGATGTTTTTCAGACACAAATAGTGAGTGCAACATGCTATCAAATCATTCCACAGAGTTCTGGGGCTCCGAACCATGGGATGAAATATCATGGGGATGATAAATAGTATCCTTCAGAGTGAGCTCCTCCTTTTTCCATGGGATCCCCTAGGATCTGGAGGAGAGAAACTGGCTAATTTCAAAATGATAGTGAGATAGTCACATATGTGAACATCTTCAGTACATGTGAAGGCCTCTTGGGGCAGGAAGGCAGGAGTCACAAGACAAAAAATAAAATTGTTATATCCCTAAATGAAAATATGTATGTAAATGTAGACATTGCTACATAGATACATTCTATTCTATTCTATTCTATTCTATTCTATTCTATTCTATTCCATTCCATTCCATTCCATTCCATTCCATTTTATATAGAATATTCTATTCTATAGAATATTCTATTCTATAGAATATTCTATTCTATTCTATAGAATATTCTATTCTATTCTATTCTATTCTATAGAATATTCTATTCTATTCTACTCTACGCTACTCTACTCTACTCTATATCCTATCCTATCCTATCCTATCCTATCCTATCCTATTTCCTATTCTATGCTATTCCTTTCCACTCCACCCCACCCTACCCCACTCTACCCCACCCACTCCAACAACCCCACCGCCCTCTACTCTACTCTACTCTACTCTACTCTACTCTACTCTACTCTACTCTACTCTACTCTACTCTACTCTACTCTACTCCACTCCACTCCACTCCACTCCACTCCATTCCACTCTATTTTATAATTCTCTAACCTGGAGTCTCTAGTTTAGACTAGTCTAGTCTAGTCTAGTCTAGACTAATCTAGACTGTTCTCTTCTGTTCTAGCCTAGCCTAGCCTAGCCTAACCCTAATCTAATCTAATCTAATCTATCTAATCTAGTCTAACCTAATTAATCTAATCTAATCTAATTAATCTAATCTAATCTAATCATCTTCCACTCTACTACACTATGCTACACTCTACTACACTATGCTACTCCACTCTCCATTGCTTTGCTTTGCTTTGCTTTGCTTTGCTTTGCTTTGCTTTGCTTTGCTTTGCTTTGCTTTGCTTTGCTTTGCTTTGCTTTGCATTGCTTTGCTTTGCTTTGCTTTGCGTTGCGTTGCGTTGCGTTGCGTTGCGTTGCGTTGCGTTGCGTTGCGTTGCGTTGCATTGCATTGCATTGCATTGCATTGTATTGCTGTCAAGGTTCCAACCAATGCCCTAATAAAGCAGGAGGATCAAGCCATTTAGCAAGAAAACTCCAGTTGTTTATTAGGAGAGCCATGTCGCCATGAACTAAGTGAAACCAGCTCTGATTTCACCCAGTTCGTGCCTTTCCTCTGACCCTGTGGCCCCTCCCCCCAAGGTGTGTCACCAGTCACATTCCCCAGCAAACAATTTCATGGGCCATAGAAGTCACTCCCTCCGGCCATTGTGGGTCTCTGTTGTGATGGCCTTGACTTTGTCCAGCTAGGATGTGTTTTGTTTTGACTGAGGTTTGAATTCACATCTCATCCCCATGAATTTAGGTCCCAGCTTCTTTCTGGGGATATTCAACCTTAAGTATTTGGTGGAGAGGTAGACCTTCTCCCCCAACTGGAATGGCCATTGTCGGGCTCGGTGTTTGTCTGCCTGTTGCTTATAGGTTTGCGCCACTTTAGCTAGCACTTTCTTGACATTTTCCCATGCTGCTTTTAGTGTTGACAGCCAATCAATCAAACTGACTGAGGAGGGAGGGATTCCCTTGGGTATTTCAGCATTGGTACGAAGTCCATACCACTTACTACCTTGAAAGGGGTTAATCCCGTGCTTCTGTGAACAATATTATTGTAAGCAACCTCTGTGAATGGCAGGAGGTCCACCCAATTGGACTGTTGGTAGCACTTCAGATATAGTTCTACCATGACATTAAGTCTCAGCACCCCGCCATTGGTACTCGGAAGGAAAGCTGAGCTAAGGCCCTGGGATGACCCAATGGATCGCAAAAACTCCCCCCTCTGGACCCCTCTGACTGAGATGATTCTGTGTGGTACCCCATCCAGGTGTGCTTCAGGAAGAGTTTGGCCAGCTGGTGGGCTGAGGATAGTCCACTGCAGGTTATGAAGTGTGCCTGATTGGAGAATAGGTCAATCACAGTCCAGATCACTGTGTTCCCCCCGTTCTTTGGTAACTCTACTATAAAGTCCATTGCAATTTCCTCCCATGGCCTCATTGGCTCTGCCATCTGTTGCAGCAATCTGGAGGTGGGTTTCCTGGTCTCTTTTTCATAGTGGCACAGATAGTGCAACTTTTTACATAACTGTCCACAACTTTCTTCATGCCAGGCCACCAGAATTGTCTCCTCACTAAGGGTAAAGATTTTAGGAATCCAAAGTGGCTTGCCAATTTGACATCCTGGCTTCTCTGGAGGATTGAGGTGCGGAGGGACTCGGCGATGGAGAGTGTCGCCCGCTTCCACGCTAGGTCCTCCCTTTTTGTCAAGATGTGTTGGTTGTCATTGAACCAAGATGTGTTGGTTGTCATGACTTAATCGCGAAACGCAAAACCGAATTGAAAGCTTCCTAGGGGGCAGTTGAAAGCTGTTTTCCATTTGTCTCCCTCCCTGATTTGGACTCGATAAATGCTTCTCTGAGGTCTAGTTTAGTGAAGACCTTGCCTTTGGCTAAGTGGGACAACATGTCCTTCATGAGGGGGAGGGGGTATAGGTTGTGCACGCAAACAACTTTGATTCTCCCTGAAATCTACACATAATCTCACAGTTCCATCTTTTTTCTTTTTAAATAGGACTGGGCAGTGGTGAAATTCAAAAAAAATTACTATCGGTTCTGTGGGTAGGATAGGATAGGATAGGATAGGATAGGATAGGATAGGATAGAATAGAATAGAATAGAATAGAATAGAATAGAATAGAATAGAATAGAATAGAATAGAATAGAATAGAATAGAATAGAATAGAATGTATCTATAGAGCAATGCCTACATTTACATATGTATCTTCATTTAGGGATATAATGGTTTTATTTTTCTCTTCTGCCTTCCTGCCCCAAGAGGCCTTCACATGTACTGAAGATGTTCACATATGTGACTGTCTCATTATCATTTTGAAATTAGCCAGTTTCTCTCCTCCAGATCCTAGGGGATCCCTTGGAAAAAGGAGGAGCTGACTCTGAAGGATGCTATTTATTATCCCCATAATATTCCCATCCTATGCCTGGGAGACCCAAAGCTCTGTGAGTTGACTTGAAAGTATGTTGAACTCCCTATTTGTGCCTGAAAAATATCTCAAGAAGACAGGTTGGTCTTATCTACTTCAAAGATCTCCTGGCAGACAGAGGCTTCTGTACACAGAAAGAAGACACTCATGGAAGTTGTTAGTTTTCATGGAGTTGCTGTTAATATTGATGCCTCGAGTGGTGTGCAAGGATCCTAGCCTTCAATGTGACCTTCAGGAGCCTGTTCCTATTCGTCACACGTATCATCAGCTTGGAGACATCAACATTGCTGGCATTATATCTGCATTGTTTACATTTTCAGATCCCATTGATTTCAGTCAACATCCTTCTCAGGCACTTCAGGAGGGAGCTGTGTAAGTACACCATCAATTTATTGTCAAAATTCCTTCTGAATATAAGCCATTCTTAAAAGCTGTGGTTTAATATTGGGCCATTTATTAAGAACTATGCTTCCAATTTGAAGCCAGAGTTTGTTTTGTAATAGAAATGAGGTGGAGTTCTCGTCTCACAATCAGGAGGCTGTGTGTTTGATCCTAGGTAGAGGCCGATATTTGTCTCTCTGTGCACACTGAGAATATATCTGCTGAACAAAACTCTGCATCCAGCCATTAAAACACTCTGCTAGCTCCATTCAATTGCCCAGAATCCACCCCACAAGGGATGATGGGGTCGTTAAATGAAAATGATATATATATATATATATATATATATATATGTTGTGCGCGCACACACACACACTAGTATTTTGCCTTGCATTTTCCAGGATCTGGGCTAAATAATAAAGATGGATGCATCACTTGAAGGAACAAGAACAGGAAGGATTCTAATCCCATTATATAGGGCTTTAGTCATAATCCCATTTGGAATCCTATATCCAGTTCTGGACACCTCACTTAAAAAAAGATATTGATAAGATTGAGTCAGTCCAGAGACGAGTAACAAAAATGATGCCGGGTCTGAGGGACAAAACATATCAGGAGAATTTGGAGGAACTGAATATGACTTCGGTAACAGAGTGGTCAATGCCTGGAATGCACTACCCGACTCTGTAGTTTCTTTCCCAAACCCCCAAAACTTTAACCTTAAACTGTCTACGGTTGACCTCACCCCATTCCTAAGAGGTCTGTAAGGGGCGTGCATAAGTGCACCAGCGTGCCTACCATCCCTGTCCTAATATTCCTTTTTACTTACTCTTTTCATGTATTCAAATTATGTTTATACTTTTACCTATTATCTTATATATGCTTGACAAATAAACTTATGATTATATATAGCCTGAAGGACAGAAGGGAAATGGGGGACATGATGGAACCTTTTAAATAAATTAAGAGTGTGAATAAGATTTGGAAAGCAGTGTTTTCAATATTAAGCAAAAATCAAAAATAACTGGCTGGAGTGAAATTCAAAAGTCATGTTAGAAAATATTACCTCACAGAAAGTGTACCAGTAGCTTTGAATCAACTTCCAAGCAAAGATAACGGGTCAATCATCACTAACTGAGTTTGAACATGCTTGGGCTAAACACATGTCCATCATCTGACAAAACTTGAACTAATATAAAAATAATGAATAAATTAACAAAAAAACGAATAAGTCAAAGGGTGACTCAAAATATCACTAGCTCTTGTATCTGCCATCAGATTGTAATGCTTCTAGATATGGACACATTCCACAAAATGTGTTGTGCTGTAGGACTGCAGGTGCCCTGGTGTGAAGCAGACATTTTTTAACATATATTTTTTTATTCTTTACAGAATATATTTTCAGAATTACCAGCATGTCCTGGCTTTAGCGTTTACTCTAAAAGAGATCAATAAACATTGTCAGATCCTACCCAATGTCACGTTGGGCTTCCATATTTTTAACAGCCATTTCAGTCCAAGCTGGACTTACTTCGCCTCAATGCTTCTGCCTTTCACTCATGGCAAATTCATCCCTAACTACAAGTGTGGGGTCCCAGAACGTTTGGCTACAGTGATTGGGGGACCAGATATCTCTCTTCACATGGCAGCTGTATTGTGCATCTACAAAGTTCCTCAGGTAAGAGGTGCAGAAGATATTCATTGTTATATTGCCATTTCATTCAGAGGTCTGCATGCGTCTTTCTCTTAAAAACGGAGACAACTTTCAGATTCCAGGATATTATTTTTTGCTTGATAGGATTACCAAAACAGCATGAGTACTCATAACATTGAACAGATAGTGGGGATATTGGGCAATGAAAAGCATTCCTCAATGCAAGCCACTGAACTGAGAGTTGGAAGGGACCTTGGAAATCTTCTAGTCTAACCTCTGCTCAAGCAGGTAATCCTATACCATTTCACATCAATGGTTGTCCAATCTCTTCTTAAAAACTTCCAGTGATGGAGCACCCACAACATGTGAAGGTAAGCAGTTTGTCTGATTAATTGTTCTAACTTGGTTCTCTCTCTTGATTAGTTTCCATCCATTGCTTCTTGTCCCACCTTCAGGTGCTTTGGAGAATAAGTTGACACCTTCTTCTTTTCCTTTTTGTCAACCTCACGATGTAGAGGGACATCTGGGTGGATATTTCTAAATAAAGACAACTAATTGACTAATGTTTCAGTATATAAACTCAAGACCACCAATAGACTTGAATGAATATGCAGATTTTCAGAGGTTCACTTAGACTAAGAATAACTTTATTGTCAATTGAAATGTACAGTAATCGGCATACATTCAAATGAAATTTCATTGCCTACGTAGCTCTCAAAGGATGACCACCTCCAAAATGCACAACATAAACATGACCAAAAAAATGAAGACATAAATATGTAAATACATAAATATGCATATATCTACACACCCACATATATTATATGACACAGAGAAACAACACAGTCTAGTTTGGATGCATAAATATGCATGGCAAGAAAAACGTAGACCTTTCCATCTGCATCTCTTTGTCTTCCGTTAGTTGACCTATGGTTCTGCTCCAGCCATGGAGAAAGAGACTCAAGCAGTTTTCTTCCACCAAATGTTTCCAGATGAATCCCATGAACATAAGGGCCTCATGCAGCTATTGAAGTACTTAAGATGGATCTGGGTTGGGATTCTTGTAGCCAAGGATGAGAAAGCAGAGAAATTTGTCCAGAAAGTGGTCCCTACTTTTTCCAAGTATGGCATCTGCACTGAGTTCATAGCAGAGTTACCAAACATTGATTTCTATAATGATTTTATGGATGTTATGGAAGAAGGACTAGAGGTATACCATGTTCTCATGAAGAGCAGAGCCAATGTGATAATCGTATATGGTAAAATTCAGACCATAACAATTCTGAGAACTTTCCTCCGGTTTTCAGAAGTGGAGGACATCCCAAAGAAGCAAAAGATCTGGGTTATAAATGCTGAGATAGATTACACTTCAATGTCAATTCATAAATCTTTGGACGTCCATTTCCTACATGGGGCTTTATCCTTTGCAGTTCACACAAAAGAGGTCCAGGATTTCCAGGAATTTCTTCACAATCTAAGTCCAAACAATGACCATCATGATCATTTTCGGAAAGATTTCTGGGAACAGGCATTTGGTTGTTTCTTCTCAAACTCAAGAACGGAGACATCTGAGGTAACCTGTACCGGTCAGGAGAAGATTGGGACCCTTCCTACATCTGTGTTTGAAACACGCATCAGTGGACAGAGTTATAATATTTACAACGCAGTCTATGCTGTGGCACACGCTTTGCAATCTCTGTATTTATCCAAGTCCAAACACAGAACAATACTGAAAAAGGGAAGGAAACAGTTTCATAATCAACTGTGGTGGCAGGTAAGTTCTGTAAGCAGATAAGTGCGGAGACAACCATATCTGTGTGTCTATGGAGCTTCTCAGGCATCCAGGTCACGGTTGTCCCAAGGGTGCTTTTTCAAGAAACAACTGGACTTTTTTTTATTTTGTTTGAAGACCTCTAGTGTCCTCAATGACTCTCAGAAAGAGTGCAAATGATCAGATGACTTCAAGGAATATAAATCCTTCCATTCCCCACCATTCACTTAGAATTGAAGAAGCTCTTGAATGAGAAGCAGAACCTCTTCAAGAAAAACAAGAAATTCCCGTGGCCTCTTTGAAAAGCACCTTTGGGACAACCATATCTATAGGTCTATCTATCCATAAACTCTAACAAACAATATTCTCTAGGGGATTGACCATAGGTGTAAAAATAAGATGTAGTAATGGATTAACCAACTGAAATATTTTTAATTGATTTTTTATTAATTACATTTCTTAGTGCTTAATAAACATCGTGTTGTCTGGTTATTTAGTTTGCTTAACATTACATATTACATTCTTAATCTCCACCCCTTTTTTCCAACCACTGATAAAATAGATTCCATGTTTGATAATAATCTGTATCTTCTCTCTGTTTAATTTTTAATATCAGTCTGTCCATTTCTGCATACTCTAGTATCTTCTTAATTACTTCTTCATCACACGGTGTTTCTTCATTTTTCCAGTCTGGCACAAATATAATCCTCGCTGCTGTCAAAATGTGCAATATTAAATACATACTTTTCTTACCAAGTTTACCCAATATTATACCTAATAAAAATAATTCAGGTTTGAAATCTACATGCTTTCCTATCATCTTTTCTAGAGATTCATGTATTTTTTCCCAAAAAAAATTGCTTTACCACAAGTCCACCACATATGATAGTATGTGCCCGTTTTTTTATTATATTTCCAACATTTCCTGGACATATTTTTGAACATTTTACCTAATTTAGCTGGTGGTATGTGCCATTTATAAAACATTTTATATAAGTTTTCTTTATACGAAGTTGCCATTATTAGTTTAATAATTCCTTTCCCATAAATTTTGGCATTCCTCTAATTCTATATTATGGCCAAAAAATTTCTCCCCATTGTACTTTTGTATCTTTTATTTGTTCATTTTCCATTTTCAAATTTAGTAAAAAGTTATATATCCTTTTGATTGGTTTTTCATCGAAATTTAGCAGTGTTTGATCAAAGGGTGTTTGCCCTTTATAAAAGTCATACTTTTTCACATCTAAATCATATAGAATAGGATAGAATAGGATAGAATTCTTTATTGGCCAAGTGTGATTGGACACACAAGGAATTTGCTCTCGTTGTACATAAAAGAAAAGATACATTCGTCAAGAATCATAAGGTACAACACTTAATGATAGTCATAGGCAGTCAATATAAATCTTAAGAATACCAGCAACAAGGTTACAGTCATACAATCATAATTGGGAGGAGATATCTAGATTGTATTTGTAATTGAGACCATCATAATAATTTAAAGTCCTGGTCTTCAAGCTTTTCCTTTGATTTTAATTTCCCTTCAGAATTCAAAATGTCTTTATATGCAGAGATGGCGAAGATTTCAGCATGTCTAAAAGATCGGACTCAAGAGACTTATGTATGGGAGTGGAAAAAGTGGATAGACTATGTGCAGAATAAATATCAAACTAGGAAATATCAGATAGCTTTTAGCTGAATGAATGTATCATGTAGGGATAGAATAATTGAATTTTATGAAGATTTGAATAATATACATGGGGTGGAGGGGTTCAAGTTTTATAAAATGTGATTTTGATTTGGAATATATGTTGAGGAAGTCATGGGGGTAGGGGAGGGTTAGGGAGGGTCAGGGAGGGTTTGGGGGGGAAACTGGGGAGAAAATGTATTTGTAAAACTTTTTAAATAAAAAAAAGAATCATAAGATACAACACTTAATGATAGTCATAGGGAAACAGTCAATATAAATCTTAAGGATACCAGCAACAGGGTTACCGTCATACAATCATAAGTGGGAGGAGATATCTAGATTGTATTTGCAATTGAGGCCATCATAATAATTTAAAGTCCTGGTCTTCAAGCTTTAGCTTTGATTTTAATTTCCCTTCAGAATTCAAAATGTCTTTATATGTCACAATTTTTTCAAACTTCACCAGATTTGGTTATGTAAAGGCTTCCATCATTGAGAGCCATTCTGGAATTTTCCAATATGTTTTACTTTTTCCCATACAGATATTAGTGAGTTTTTTATATAATCATTTTGAAAGTATCTGGGAGTTTTATTCTTTTCATACCATAGGAAGGCATGCCATTCCAATTGCAGGTCATGTTCTTCTAGATATAACAATCTCTTGTGTCTAACAATTATCCATTCTTTTAGCCAATAAGACAATAATAGGATAAAACGTAACGTAACTGGAAAGTGTATTTGCTTGTGTGTGTGAGAGAGAGTATATACAGGTGGTGGGTTTCAAATTTTTTTACTACCGGTTCTGTGGGTGTGGCTTGGTGGGCGTGGCTTGGTGGGCGTGGCAGGGGTAGGATACTGTAAAATCTCCATTCCCATCCCAATCCAGGTGAAGGTTACTGCAAAATCCACATTTCCTCCTGATCAGCTGGGTCTTGGGAGGCAGAGAGTAGATGTGGGCGGGGCCAGTCAGAAATTTTACTACCGGTTCCCCAGAACTGGTCAAAACCTGCTGAAACCCACCTCTGGTATATACATAGATAAACATAAACCTTTTCAATTACATTTTGTTTTATCTTGTTATTATCTTGCTTCTAGTCTGTTGAATTGTAACTGCAATAATTCAAATCAAACTTTTGCATGGCTACAGCAAATATAGGGTTGTTTATAAGTAAGATTAGCATTCAACTTTAATAGCTATATACATCCTAGTATTTCTGATGTATTTATCAGAAGTCATCCAGTTATGCTGCTTTAGAAATTCAACTAATTGCTAATTAATTTTTTTGCTGGTTTTTTTATTTTGCTATTCTTAATCTTAATATTTTTTCAGTAACCTGATATTCTACCTCTGCCTCTCTGTTGCAATGATGGTTATGTTATTTGTATGATACTGGCCTAGAACTAAAATATTAAATAGTTTTAATATTTTCTTTGTTTAAAGAAACATCCATATGTACATTTGGAATATATGAATTTTTTTTTCTTCTCTTCTCTGTCCTTCTCTCTCTTTGTCCCTCTCTGGCTGTCCCTGTTTTTCAGGTTCATTCTTTTCTGAGAAGTGCCAGGTTCAACAACAGTGTTGGTGAGAAGGTCTCCTTTGATGAAAAGGGAGAATTCATTGGTGGATATGATATTATCAACTGGGTCACATTCCCAAACCAGTCCTTTGTTAGGATCAAAGTTGGGATGATAGATCCCACAGCTCCAGCAGACAAGTTCTTCAGTATTTCTGTAGATTCCATCATTTGGCCAGTAGGATTTAATCAGGTTAGCTGTTTGAATGTAGACTGGTCTCCCTTCCTTTATGTAGAATAAAAATATCTTTATTGATGAAAATCTTAGAGCATCTTCTCTAAACTAGCAAATACCAATGTTCTAGGGAAGCAAAACATTATCTGTAAGAAGGTTTACTTTTCTAATAGTTAGAAAAGGGGTGTCTATCTCAAGGCCTACAGGCCAGAATAGGCCTGTGAGGTGTTTCCATCTGCCACCGTGGAAACAGTGAAGGACCATCCCTCTGCCAGTGAATACGGAACTCGTGTGGGCCGTGCCCATTTTTGCTGGCAGATTGCTGCAGGAGGTTGTCCCAGCTGAAAAAGGAGCCTGGGGAGACCGCCCAGGCCACCATAGGTGCCCCAGAAATGAGTGACATCGATCTGGCTATGCCCACTCTAGCCATGCCCACCTGGAAATAAACTCTCCCCCCCCCAAAGTAAATACAACCCTGATGCGGCCCGCAATGAAATCGAGTTTGACACCCCTGGCATAGAATATAGAATATTACTTTGGCCCTTTGTTAATAATGTGTTGTGGCCCACCAGTGGAGCTGATAGCAGATTCAGACAGTGAGGAAGTTAAGGAGGAACATGGGCCAGTCCTGGAGTCTGGAGAAGACTCTGATGAGTGCTCTGCGTCAGAGGCAGATTTCGCCAGGGCCAGATGCTAGTTATCTGCCTTCAGAGGCAGACATCAGTGAGGCAGACGAAGAGCTGGAGCCTGTTCCCAGTATGCGCATGTGCAGAGTTGCCAGACGAAGAGAACAGCTAAAGAAAAACGGTCGACTTGGGAGTAAGGCCACAGGTGGACGATGAATTGTCTCTCCCAGAGGGAATAAAAGAGAAGCAAAAGTGGAGTGGAGTTTGCAGAGACAATTAGTTCGCCTAATTGGTTTGTGACTCTCCGAGATTCCCATGCAAAGTTCTGAAGATATCAGCCTGGCAGCTCTCCAAGCCAGATAAGGTCGGTGACTGTAAATTCTCCCTTGAAAAGTTTTGCTGAAGGTGAATGAGAGGAATTCACTGTTTCTTTAATAAAAGAAGTTTTGCTGGGACCAGGATTCTGCTTTGTGCTTTTTGGGGAAGCCTAGGTCAGAACACAATGCATTGTTTTAAAGTAACAGCTACAATGCAGTGTATTAATTTCATCAGTCTAGTGACTGCAAAATTAAGAAATTGAGAAAAAACATCTTTAACCAGCACAAAAATTATCTTTGGAAACTGGGGTTGATAGATATAGAAAGTCATTGATACCAATAATTGTAGATATTTAATGAGTTATTATTTCAGACCAATTACATCTCAAAATGATGTAATCACATTTCTTCTCCTTATCAATCCATTTTTATGCAGTTAATTCCACAGTAATAATATCTCTCCATGCACTTTCTTTTTCCTCTGTATCTTAAAATATTCTTCTTCATTCACTGATAGGCATTGCCTTTATCTCTGTGTAATGATCCCTGTGAGAAAGGATACAGCAAGGAAAAGATAGAAGGGAAGTCATTTTGCTGCTATGCTTGTCGTCTGTGTCCAGAGGGGAAAATATCAAAGGAGAAGGGTAGGAAATTCCAAATCTAATGGGATTGAATCATGAAGATACAATGCTATCTATAATCCATGGTATCAATTCCAATCGATATGTTCTTTTCCAGATGTGGATGACTGCTCTCCATGTCCAGAAGATCAATATCCAAATCCTGAGAAAAATATGTGCATTCCAAAGCGGATCACTTTTTTGTCCTATGAAGAACCCTTGGGGATCAGTCTGACCGTTCTTTCCCTTTGCTTTTCCTTAATGACAACTTTGGTCATCACAATCTTCATGAAACACAAAGACACTCCCATCGTCAAAGCCAACAACCGGAATCTCACCTACCTTCTTCTAGGTTCCCTCCTTCTCTCTTTCCTTTGTGTCTTTCTATTTCTCGGGAGACCCAATACGATTGTGTGTCTCCTTCGACAGCCATCTTTTGGCCTCATCTTTTCTGTGGCGGTTTCTTGCGTCTTGGCCAAAACCTTTGTGGTGGTTCTCGCATTCATGGCCACCAAACCTGGTTCCAGATTGAGGAAATGGGTGGGGGGAAGAATGGTCAGTTTCATTCTTCTAGCCTGCTCCCTTGTTCAAACGTGTGTTTGTGCTGTGTGGCTGATAACGTCCCCACCTTACCCAGATTTCGACGCACACTCGATATCTGAAGAACTCATCCTGGAGTGCAATGAAGACTCAGTCATGTTCTACTGTGTTTTGGGCTTCATGGGTTTCCTTGCTCTGGTTAGCTTCTCTGCTGCTTTCCTAGCTAGGAAGTTACCTGACAGTTTCAATGAAGCCAAATTCATTACCTTCAGTATGTTGGTCTTCTGCAGTGTTTGGCTGTGCTTTATCCCAACCTATCTAAGCACAAGGGGAAAATATACGTTGGCTGTGGAGATCTTTTCCATGATCTCTTCCAGTGCTGGATTATTGATATGCATCTTCCTTCCCAAGTGTTTTATTATTGTGATGAGACCTGAACTGAATGATAAACATCAGCTCATGAAGAGAAAGTTTTAACAAATATTTCCATTTTTCCTTTATCTGTAGATGTTGGAGATCTTCCCCACTGGCACGTTTAAGCCAGAGGACAATGGGCAATATAGAAGATCATCCTTTGTCTGAGATTTAAGATAGAGCAGAAATTTTTTCCCTTCTGGAAGGCAATTATAAATGGGGACCATAAAAGCATAAGGATAAATTGATGTAGGGACATAGTTCATGTATGATAGACAGCTCTGACTAAATATGTGATTAAATATGAATTGTAAATTTGTCTTGACTGATCATCTTCATCCATATGCACACTAGAATGTGAAAAAGAAGTGGAGTTAAATACAAATGAGCTTTTCATTTAAAAAGTTAGAGCTTATGATGTTTTTCTCTGAAACAAGCAAACACTGGCAGTTTTCTAGTGTACACATGTGTAGGGGTTACGTATGAAAAACAGGCTAAATTCAAAAGATCTGCCTGGAATTTGCAACTAGGTGATCTGAGAAACCATCTCACCCCAATGAGATGACCATGGATGTACCCCACATCATCCAAGGCACGACTTGGGATAATAGTCATACTCCAGATATTATTATTTTTTCAGACCAATAGTAATATGATCTGCTGGGGGAATCTGTCATTATCCCTGTACCATGGCCAGACTGTGCCCTGGTGGTTCTGAAATTTTTCAATGCTCACCTATTTGAATAGTTCATCCTTGACAACTAACTTGGGTTTAAGAAGGAGCTTGAAGATATCCTGGAGATTCTGCTGTATGGCTCTGTGGAGGTTTTTCTCACAAATGGACAACCTCCTTTGGAGGCGTTTGTCCCAAATGGAATCAGAAAGCAGGCAAGGCCCTGGACAGGATCACATGTGGGTACCTTTTCCTGATGTGGGGAGTCCTGAAACTCCTCTTGGTGTACAGAGAAGGTGAGGGTGTTGAAAAGGTCCAAAAGATGGTAAAGTGCCACTGGAGGAAAACCAAGAATGATGTTGCACTGGGGGAGATTATCCAACATCATGGGTCACGGGGCTGGGACCACGTCTGAGCGTTGGGAGATGTGAGAGGCTTGAAAAGGTGGTGGGGAGCATGGAGCAATAGCTCTAACAATATATAGAGCCAAGGGATGGTAGAATGCTACTGTAGGAAAACTAAGAATGATGTCACATGGTTGCACTAGATGAGATTATCCAACCCCATGGAATGAGTTATCATCGACGTCTTCAGTTCCAACTAGTTAGTTTTGAATGGTTTTTAATAATATCTGTTTCATAAACTTCATCCAGTTGGTCTTCTTCTTGTTGACTGTGCATTAAACAAGGATGCATTATTTTTACAATACGTGCCTTAAGAACATTTGTCATTCCAGTAATGCGCAGGAAAATTCCTTTCTAAAAGAAGAAATATCATAGATTTTACTGATGGTTTCAACTAATAAAAATACTAGTTTGAATACAACAATTGGTACATGCATACATCCGAACCTGTGTCCTGTGTCATATAATATATGTGGATATATTGGTTTGATTTATATGCCGTCCTTCTCGGAGATTCAGGGAGGCTTACAATGCGTTAAGCAATAGCCTTCATACTTTTGTATATACCTGCTTAGTAGGGCTTTCGGGGGCCCCTAAGCGGTGTTTCTTTTAATACAAAATCAGCTTATTGCCCCCACAATCCAGGTCCTCATTTTACCTACCTCGGAAGGATGGAAGGCTGAGTCAACCTTGAGCCTGGTGAGATTTGAACTCGCAGTAATTGCAGGCAGCTGGCAGCTATGTGCTATTTAACAGCGCTTTAGTCCGCTGCTCCACCAAGGCTCCAATATATGTGGATATACTGTATACATACTTTTGTATTTATTTATTTATTTATTTATTTATTTATTTATTTATTTATTTATGTTTATGTTGTCTATATTGAAGGTGGTGACCCTTTGAGAGCTGTATGCAACGAAATTTCATTTTAACGTACACTGATTAGTGTACATTCAAAGTCACAATAAAGTTATTTCCCTATTGTATTCTATAGTGGTATGATGCTTTCTCAGGTCTCCAGGGGATGTCCTGTGGTTTTAAATGCTCCTTCTAAGGCTGCAAAGATCTCTAGCTGATTAGCATCCTCTCTGTCATCCTTTAGTTAAAAGAAAACAGAGACGCAGAATGGCAAAGAATAAATATTTGTTTCTTTCTTTGTTTGTTTGTCTATTAAATTTGTTTGCCACCCAATGGTTGGTTAGTAGAGAACTGACTCACCCTAATCCAGCTTCTTAAGAGAATTAAATAAAACCGCATTCTGGCTCCCATTTATTTAATTTTTAAATTAATAATATGGTTTGGGACCTTAGCAAAGCTGAGTTTTTTCCTCTTTTCTGTGGCTAGTAAACCAATCCCAACTCTGCTATATGCTTGCCATGCTGTCATTTGTCTGTTTCCCAAATCAAGCTTTGTAAAGTACTACCCTATTGCATCAAATACCAATCCGCAAAAGTAGAATGCAACCATATGAAAACCCAATAGTGCAATAAGCATCCAGATTTCTGGAAGAATGGATGAAAAAAAATAATGCAATGGAATGCAAAATGGAGAGTAGGGAGCAGGGGTGAAATGCTCCCGGTTCGGACCAGATCGCCTGATCCAGTAGTGATGGCGGCGGGTGGTTCGGAGAACCGGTAGCAAAAATCCCTGTGCCGCCCCCCCCCTCATGTCCAGCTGAGCCACGAGATCATCAGAGGCTGTTTTTTTTACTTTTAAAAGCATTTTTTCTACAACCTCTTTGGCCAAAAAAATGCTTTTAAAAGTAAAAAAAAAAATAGCCTCTGATGATCGTGCGGCTCGGCTGGGATCGTCAGAGGTTTTTAAAAGCATTTTTTCTACAACCTCTTCGGCTGAAGATCTTGTAGGGAAAAAAAATGCCTTTAAAAGCCTCTGGTGATCCCAGCTGAGTTGCCTGATCGTCAGAGGCTTTTAAAAGCATTTTTTCCTGCAACTTTTAAGATGCTTAAAATGCTTTTTAAAAAAAGTTGGCCATGCCCACCCAGTCACATTACCCACCACCGCCAAGCTACGCCCACAGAACCAGTAGTAACAAATTTTAGATTTCACCCCTGGTAGGGAGTAGTGTAGCATAGTGTAGTAGAAGGGAAGATTAGATTAGACTAGACAAGACAAGGCAATCCAGAAGGGAAGATTAGATTAGACTAGACTAGACACTCCAACTAGATAATTCTAGAGTAGAGTAGAGGTAGAGTAGAGTAGAGTAGAGTAGAGTAGAAAATTAGAATAGAATATAGAATTTAGAAAAGAGAATAGAATGAAAATAATAGAATGAAATGAAATGAAATGAAATGAAATGAAATGAAATGAAATGAAATGAAATGAAATGAATAATAGAAGAGGATAGGATGGGATGGGATGGGATGGGATGGGATGGGATGGGATGGGATGGGATGGGATGGGATGGGATGGGATGGGACGGGACGGGACGGGATGGGACGGGACAGGACAGGAAAGAATAGAGTAGAGCAGAGTAGGGTAGGGTAGGGTAGGACAGGACAGGATAGGACAGGAAAGAGTAGAGTAGAGTAGAGTAGAGTAGAGTAGAGTAGAGTAGAGTAGAGTAGAGTAGAATAGAGTAGAGTAGAATAGAATAGAATAGAATAGAATAGAATAGAATAGAATAGAATAGAATAGAATAGAATAGAATAGAACTATATTTACATTTGTATCTTCGTTTATGGATACAATGATTTTATTTTTGTCTTGTGACTCAAACCTTCCTGCCTCAGGAGGCCCTTACATATTTTGAAGATGATCACATATGTGACTGTCTCTCATCATTATCAAATGAGCCAGTTTCTCTCCTCCAGATCCTATGGGATCCCATGGAAAAAGGAGGAACTGACTCTGAAGGATGCTATTTATCATCCCCATGATATTCCATCCCACGGCTCAGAACACCAGAACTCTGTGAGTTGATTTGATAGCATGTTGCACTCGCTATTTGTGTCTGAAAAACATCTCAAGAAGACAGGTTGGTCTGATCTACTTCAAAGATCTCCTGGCAGACAGAGGCATCTGTACACAGAAAGAAGAAACTCATGGAAGATGTCAGTTTTCATGGAGTTGCTGTTAATAGTGATGCCTCAAGTGGTGTGCAAGGATCCTAGCCTTCAATGTGACCTTCAGGAGCCTGTTCCTATTCGTCACACGTATCATCAACTTGGAGACATCAACATTGCTGGCATTATATCTGCATTGTTTACATTTTCAGATCCCATTGACTTCAGTCAACATCCTTCTCAGGCACTTCAGAATGGATCTGTGTAAGTACATCATTCATTTATTGTCAAATTTTGGACCGTGCTGCTAAATCACATGATGCTTGAAATGTTTTCCTCTCGTGACAAAGGCTCCGGAAAGAAGCATCTTAAATGAGATGCCTAAGTTTATTTTATTTGAAGTGAATTCTCCTACGGCGGGCACGGCAGTCAGGATGGGCGGAGACACGGGTGCGAGTTGTTAGGACCAAGTCTGCTGTCAAAGTCGAAGCCCCGCCTCCATGCCTGCGCCGGCAGTTTTTTCGACTCGGTCGAGTAGGACGGTGGTGTCTAGAGACTTGGCAAAGAATATTTTCCCTTTAGGACGGCTGGATTGCTTCTCTTTTCAAATTAATTCTTCCTGTTACAATCTACAGAAAGCCCGGTCAGCCGTGAGGACAGCTATCGGCTGGCCGGCTCCGCCGTGGCTTCGGTCAATTAATTCCGGCGTTCGCTGCGACTCGGGCTTTGCCCTGCAGCAAGGCGGCGACCCACTTAGCTCTGTTATTGCCGCGATCGTACAATCCCCTTTCGGGATAGCGATCTTTATTGGGAAGCTGCGATCAGGATCGGAGGAGCCGGGGGACAGCGGGAACAACCTCGCTAACACAGTAAGTGCCCTTTTAGGGTTGCAGAGAGGAATTTATTGCGGCGGCCATTTCTCCTCCCGGTTTTAACATGGCGGACGCCATTTTGAAGTCATCTTCCCGCGCTCACAAGAGCAGGGGAAAAAGAACCCAGGAGCCGGATCCGGGAGAGGGGCCTTCAGGCAGTCAAGGCATTAAAAGGCCCAGGCATCAAACCTCCTCCAGAGTGGTAGAAAAGCCTCCTCCTTCATCATCTAAACACTCCAAGGATGAGGAGAGACAGCATAAAGCAATCGAGCGGGCCTTTCAAAACGCCTCTTCTCGTCAGGCCCCCGCTCCTAGACCTCCTTTGAGCCCTACTGTTCCAACTTCTTCAGGAAATGTCCAGGGAGGAGCTCAACAGGCCCCAAGTTTACCTCCCTTGTCTCCGGATAGATCCATCCAGGAGGATTCAACGGCCCTCACTGAGGCAGCCTCAGTTTTCCCAACCAGTCAAGATATGGCGCCTACTCAGCCAGTACCAGAACAGCCCCTTCTGGGCCAGGCATCTCAGGCTGACCATCTGGGGGGGTCTGTTACAACTCAGGCTCCTAATTCTGACCAAGTTCTTTCTCCAGCCTTAGCGGCGCTAATTGCTACTTCTATCAAACAAGGCATAGCCCAAGGGCTTCAGGAGAGGGCTTCCTCACGAGTATCAGAATATCTAGAGGACCAGGCTGATTCTCTTAGGTCTCTACCCCTGGAAGGGTCTTCCCACAGGCAAGAAGGACAAAGGTCCCCTTCTCAAGGCAGCCAGGGCTCTATTTCCCTAGGGGAGGAAGCTATTATTGATCAGGAGTTATCTGAGGACGAGGGCCTTGAGCCTGATCAACCCTCATTTGTAGGCCTTTTTCGTCCTCAAATGTTTCGGTCATTATTATATAAGGCTCAGGTGACCACTGGTTTGGGCATTCCAGCTGCTAAGGCTGAGGGGTCTTCTGGCTCATCGAATACCACGGCTAAGCTATTCGAGGAACCCGCTGTGGCAGCAGAGACTATCTCTGCTCCCAAATTGTTTTCTGATGTCTTACAGAGGCAGTGGAAATATCCTAGTTCAGGCCCCTCACCAAATTCTCTCGATAAAAGATTATATAATTTGGCTTCAGAATATGCAAACCTCTTACAGATACCTACTGTTGATGCCCCGGTGTTAGCCTTAACTTCTTCTTCTCCAGTATCTGGTCCTCCTGAAGAGGCTCTTCGTCCGGAGGATAGGAAATCTGAACGCTCTCTGATTAAAGGTCACCAGGCTTCGGCCTGGTCGGTGCAAGCGGCCTCAGCGGCATCATTTTTTAATAGAGCATCTATTCTCTGGTTAAAACAACTCCAAAGCCGTATTCCGACTTCAGACATTCAAACCCACCAGGACATTAATAAGATTGTCGCAGCGGTTGAGTTCTCAGCGGACGCTACTCTAAACACCACACGCTTCTCAGCCAAGGCCATCGGTTCGACAGTTACATCTAGGCGCTTGTTGTGGTTGAAGCACTGGCAGGCCGACATTCGAAATAAATGGC